TACCTCTGGCGCACTACACAAAGTCAATGTAACTAGCTAGATTCACCGGTTTTATTTTATTTTTAATTTTTGAAAAGAACTGGTAAGCAGTTCGCGTTCAACAAGAACTGAACTAGAACTGTTTCAAACCCAGTGTAGTTTTAGAAAAAATATCTTCTAATGATCTCTCAATTACACTGATTTATCTAACGGAAAAATGAAGATAGAATGAAATTATAGACGCGATTTTCGTTGAAAAATGAAGAGTCAATGTTAAATTTTTTTGGTATAGATGATATTTTCTTTTTTTAATTTTAGAAATTAGAAGATGAACAATTTAAAATATTAGTAGAAAATAATGGTGGTCAACATCCAATTTATTTATCTTACATATGTGAAAATCTACGCCAATTTGGTGATTATTCATTAATAACTGAAAAACTTCGTCAATATCCAGATACATTAAACGATTTTATTGATTGTTTACTCACTGAAATATATCAAAATGACGAAACGCATTTAGTAGAAATAGTGAGTATTTGTTTATTTGACGAATGAGTTTATTTCTAAATATATATATATCGGGTTGTTTTTTTCAGTTTTTTAAACTCTTGATTGTATCTTACGTTGGCATATTAGAATCAGATATCTGTAATTTATTACAATTTTATTTAAATAAGAAAAAAAGTGATGTTGAATTGGCTACAACAGACAGCAAACAGGATGTGAATCAAATTACCTGGTCAATATTACGTCGAACAGTTAAAACACTGTTGGATACATCATGGTGTATTGGTTATCAAGTTATGATATTACGTCATGCATCTTTAGAGCAGGTAATTGTAAAGATGTTCTCTATAATTTATTATATTCTTCTATATTTTACATCTAGAAACTTCAACATAGTCTATTAAAAAATGAAGATGAAGTACGTTCATTACATGCATTAATGGCTGAATTTTATCAAACAAAACATTCAGTTAAACATTTTGCCAGTTTACGTATACCTTATCATTTACAACAAGCTCATCGATTCGAACAACTAGTACAATATTTAAGATCGCCAATGTCACGTCCTGTGGGAAAAATCGATCGACAAATGTATTTGAAAGTGAGTGTAGTTTCTGTATGATGTTTCCTATTCAAAATTGAGTTTATATTTTAGACACTTCGTTGTAAAACAATGATTATGGGTCCAGATGGTCCAATGAATCAGTGCGCCTATCTATGTAGTTCGTGTGCGATGCAGTTCAGTCTCAGTCCATACACAATGGCTAAAAGTTCGTGTTTACTCTGTGGGTCAATGATAATTGGCGGTGGTCATATGCCACACTTGAAAAACGTAGCACGTTTTTGTCATAAACATGGTTTTGTCGGTTATCCGGGCACCATTCGGTGTGTTGTATGTAAACTAACACATCAAGGTCCAAAAAAGCAAAACAACATGCCATCGTTCTTGGATCCAGTACCCGTCCATATTTGTTTTGAATGTTCTATAGGAATACAAACATGTTGTGCATTCGAATTTGATCAAAAGTAATAATAGACCGTCTGGTAATATAAAACTTTCGACATTTTCATTTTTTGATTTATTTTTTGATCCATCATCGATGAATTTACTAATCTCACTGCTTTTTTGTGTATTTTATATGCTTTAAAATAATAAATTATTACAACAGTTAGTTGTATTTATAATTTTTCACAAATTCGTACACATGAAACATATGCATAATAATAATCATCATGTCTCATCTATCAATTTTGGTAAAACAGGTTTTCTTTTTGTTGAAGACTGCAGACTTGTTAATCAAGAAAAATATGGAATCCTGTACTTTGATAATAATTACAAAGTTATGGAGCAGTCTTTTTCGTCGAATTTTGAAACCATGTATTTTGCGAACCTGATTATCAACCAAATGGTCCAGTGATTAATTAACTCATAGGAAAGCTAATGTCGAGTTCAGACTACGCACAGTATGTGTTATAGAAGTAAATTCATATTCATGCTAAATGATTTTTTTAATCCACATGAATATTTTCCTTTTTTCTTTCTTACAGCAAAAACCACATTCTTTTAGAAAATATTTTTATAGAATTATACAGAAGTATTTTTTTGTTTATTAATATTAGTTATTTTTTAGTTAGTTAGATCCATTACCTTTCGGTGTAGGGTAAGACAATATAAAAGAAGTACACAAAAAATACACAAATGAAAGAAGTGTTCATTCAGCTTCTGTCCTGTTCGTTCACATTATGTAAATAAATAAAGGTTTTTCATCCGACTATCACCCTCCAAGTATACTTGATTTAGATGATATTCTTATTAATGAATACTGTGCACGCTATAGCATGTGAATTTTTAATCAAATTTAATAATTTTTTAGTGTTTAAACAATAATGCATAAAGTCAGGACTATTTTTCTGTTTAAAAAAAAGAATTTTACTTGACACTATAGAGAAAAAAACGGTTGCTTCCCATTTTGGAAACAAATTGCTGTTTTCACACCGTCTACATTTCCCCTTTTGCAAGTAAGCATTTTGTTAAAAATGTTCCCATTCTAAAGTAGTTAAGAGAAAAATGTGCAATATAATAATACGTACCAATATGTGTTGATAAAGGTTTTAGGTGAAGTTCGGAAAACGTTGATTGATTATCTGGAGCCAACATTTACATGTTTATTGTAGAGCTAGAGTATATAGAGATACTTTGCGATCGAGCAAAAAAGTTTTCTGGACAATAACTCTCGTTCTCCCAAGCAACTGAACAGGTCAGTCTTGGACCAAAAACTGTGAATCTTGTCAACAATCATTTGTCATTGGTCAGAAAATCAAAATTGAGTAGTCAAGAAAATGGTTAGACTCACCGACGAAATTCGATATTGTAAAACGGTTTTCAAGACTTCCTTCATTCGATTCTGCACAAGATAGTCTTCATTTATCCATAATAAACTTAATGTTTTTTGTTTATAGAAAATACGAAAAATGGGCTCAAAATAAGAACATAAAAAAAAAATTAAAATTTCGATAACTCAGATATTTTCAAATACAACAAACATGAAACTTTCGCAAAAGTATCTTTATACACTCTAGCTATTACGGTAGATAGTTGACTCAAAACTATTTTGTTCGACTATTTGCTTTTATCGTCAACTACTCTGTTGTTCGGGCGAGTTATACAAATAATATTTAACAGGTGAGGGGCGGAGAGAGGCGTTAGTGTGAGAGTAAGTTACCAAACAACATTTCATCTTTGAATGCGTTGTCAAGTATAGACAAAAATTAGATTTATAAAACAAAATCTCTATTCTGTCTTAAATAGTTTGCTTTGAAAACGTGAAAATTTTTCATAATCGTTTTGTTTGCAAATGGGAAATATTAAAACAATAAATAATAAAATTGCTTACAACGTGGGCATGAGCTAAAAAAACTATTTTACGCTAACAACGTTCCCAAAAATGATATCTTTAATATCAGATTTTGCACAAATATTTTTGTATGTCAATTAGATTTATGAACTTAGATTTAAAATAGCCCAAATCTTTTTGGATCTCATTAGAAAAAAAAGTAGCATCAACAAATTTGTCAAAATCATTTGTTCAATGTTATCGGATGAATTGGAAAATAAATAGAGATATTTATTTTAGTTTAGATTGTTAACATTGATAGACTACCCCTCGGTATATCAGATGAATTTTGTATACGTTCAACAAAAACTGAATTAAAATTAACTGTTCGTCCACTATTGAGATTTATGTGTGCAAGATTTTGTAATGAATGTAAAAGGTACAGCAAGAATAAATAGGAATTTTGTTTGAATATAAAATAACAATATTTGTTTCTATATGGGATTTAATGATATTCTAGTTTATTATCTACCATTACCAATAGTCTGTTATCTTTTTTGAAAGTATGCTGCGAGATTTGGAATTTTATAATCAGTGAATACCAACTCCTTTTGGTATCTGAACTATTAGCATAAATATAAATTTACTGTTCTTGTATACTCATTTCAGAAAAGGTCAACTTGCTCTGAGATTTTGTTCTTGAAGATACGTTCAAATTCACCTTTGAATCTATGCTTAAAGGAACGTAATACTTCTTTGGTAATCTTCTCGAATTTGATGATTCATGGATTTGTCTGTTTTTCTCCTCAAAAGTGAAGGTGATTTTTTTCTTCTTTTTTTCATACAGTTTGTAAGAAAACTACCCTTCGTAGAGGATGGCAATGAGAGTGAAAGTATGTGCGGCTGTGAATGAGGGTTTTTATGTACAAATTTAATTGGTAAGAATAGAAGAAAACGATGCTAATTGACATTCAGCGATGAAGACTACGGTGAAGAATGCTGAAAACGCAACGTAGGGTTTGAAATGTTGCGTTTTTTCGTTGTGGCACGTACTTCTTATCCTGAAGACACTTAAAGAGCAACTCGAAAATGATTGTCGAAATACTGCGGCCCGTCGCCTTTCGTAGCACATTTTCGTACACAGTTTCAAAGGTATGTGAGACAGAAGGAAAACTTAAAATGGTAATCAAGTTTACTCTTCTTCTATATTTATATGGCTACTTCTTAATTGAGATCAATATTTTTTGTACTCACTTGGCTTCCCGCCCTCTGATATTTGTTTGAAGCCAATTAAGACTTCCAAAGTGAGACCATATTTTATCAAGAAAGTGGTCTCAATTCAGAAACTCCGATTTATATTAGCGAAGCATTTTTTCCTATCAATTTCTGCTAAATACCAATTAGCATCTTTTTCTTCTATTCTTACCAATCAAATTTGTTATGTTTCATAAAGTATCCTTATCAATTCTCCAAATAATGGGAAAAAATTACTTTTTAATCTTAACAACAAAGTTAATCGATAAATTAACAAAAAAAAATGAGCTATATTCACAGTATTAGACTTTAGGAAAAAATGTTAGACTAATTATTGTACTTGAAACGCGGTATGGCAACTGATCACATTCACAGTTGGATATCAGACGTCAGAAGGTTCTTTTGAAGAAAATTGTCATCACAATGAAGATACTTTAGTGTGCATGAATCGTTCAACTTTTACCACCTAATTAAGTGGTATTATATTAATTATTACCTAATTAAGCTTCTAACTTAGTTGTAAACAGTAGTGGCTCGACCGGGGGGATGGGGGGTACCCCCCACACTTTTTTAAAAAATTTGGTCAAATTTACTCCCAATTTGTGAAAAAGATAAGAACGATTTACTCTCATTTCGGAGAAACTCGGAGAGGGATTTACTCCGATTTTGAAAAAACTTAGATGACTTATTTCTATTTTTTTCCGCCTTCGTCTGAGAAAATTACAGTGAATGTAACGTTTAGACAAACTTAATGAGTGATGCTCATCAGTTATTTATACTTCACCATGAGCTCGAAGAATCAGGGGCTTATTTTTGGAGACCTTACTCCCATTTTTAAGGATCTTACTCCCATTTTTGGATTTACATGCTCCCAACCTCTTCGCGCCGCCACTGGTTGTAAAAATCAATATTAACAAAAAAACACACTTGAAAGCAGACAGTTTTTATTTTTTGCACAATTGGACGGTCAAAGCGTCTGATTTTCTTGTGGTTTTCACATGGAATCATACATAACGGTATGGTAAACATATTCTATCAACTCATCAGTATTAAGATTAGCCTTTGACACCCTATATAAATTAATTTGTGTCTATTCCATCTGATTTGAGCAGAGTGGTTATATTTCCCTCCCACAAAAAAATGCTAGTGTGGTAATTATTACCATTTAGTAGTAACGAACTGAAAATCGAATGACACTAATTAACGATAACGAATTTTTGAACAATTTTTAGATCGGTGGATAACCAAGAGACACAGGTATCTACCTGGGCAATATCGTTTTCTCCGACAGAAAATAGCCGAGTCATCTGCAAAATGAGAAGAAGTTAGCGGTTGGTTATAATTATCCTATTCTACTGTAAAGCCGTTGAATATTTGAACTTTTTAAACTGTTGAGAATACCACAAGGGATCACTGGAGCTTTTCCATATGTACTATGCACTTGCTGATAGTTGACGAAGATTGTGTTAGAAGAATAGCTTTCTGAAACAACATACACAAATAGAGTCACATGTAAAAAAATGTTAGAGAAACAAAAATACGACAATACCAAGGAAACCAAATTGAGAAAAAAATGAGAAAAAATGCGAGAAAATATAAAAATAAATAAATTATTCATCATTTGTCCTCGTTGAACAACATGTGTTACCCAAGAATTGTCTATATGTCGATGTACCGATATTTATTGACGCTGTTCGTTCAGTTAAATCTGACTGTTCGATTGAAGTCGACGATTTATTAGCTCTCTGATCAAGTAATTTTTCTGTTAAATAATAAAACATTTTATTTACATTTGGACTTGTTTCACTTTTTGCACTGGTTTCAAAAAAATCCACTTTATATTTATCAGCTAGTGCTTTCCCTTCATTTGACGTTATTATTAGACGATTCTGTAAATCCGATTTATTACCAACGAGAATACGTACAACGTCGTCCGGATGTGATACATTTTCGTCAATGTTTCTCATCCATCTGGCTATGTTTTGAAATGTCACTGCTTCTGTACGATCATAGACTAATAAAATGGCATCGGCATTACGATAGTAGGACCGAGTGATGTTATAAAATTTTTCTTGGCCAGCCTAAAAAGAATAAAAGGAAGAAATATAGAAGTAGGAGTGAATTTCTTTTGACGCTATGCTTTTAATTCATCTTTTTTCTTGCAAGATCCTCTATTCCTCTTCTTTTTCATTCAATTTTCTTCTTTTCTCTAGAAAACGTACAAAATCACCTGTAGTCAGTAAAGACTATTGTATATCAGATCTTTATATGTGGTCTAAAATCTTAAAGTAAGTGGTAGAACCTACATTCGTCTTTTTTTGCCCTGATTTCATATTTTTAAATTACATGTAGTGTTTTGGAGAACATTATTTAAAACATGCTTGTAACACTCTCTTTTGAAGTGTCAGAAACTGCCAACCTGTTTTTTTATGCACCTGTACAACATGCTGTAATGCCCTTAGGGCCGATTGCATGTCTTATTAGTTATTTTTTCTATTAATAAAGCTTAAACCAAGTGTCAGAATGCATAATAAACTTTAGATTAAAAGAATAGTACAGTTAAAATGATAGATATTCAATTATGTCTCAAATAATAACGAAGTCTAACAATGATTGGCTACAAAAAAAGTCGATGCAAACGAAAACCTTATGATCAAAAGCTTTTATTGAGAGACGAATGTGAAATAAATCGCCGCTAAATGCATTGAATTTTGATCTGAACATAGATATGCGGCAGTGATGACTGACAGCTACATTCCTGTTTCTTTCATTCTAAATTCTTTTTGACACAAATTGTTGAATCAAAGAAAATTTCTCTTTTTTCAGAATATTTTATTGACAGCCAACTTAACGCCTTACCGTATCCCACAGTTGTAATTTGACAGTTTTATCTCGAACACGAACTGTTTTTATTTTGAAATCAATGCCAATCGTAGGCGTGAATGTTTCAGTATACATATTATCTAAAACAAAAAAAATACTATCTGTTTTTGTCATCCAAAACATCCATCAAACTTACCAGCAAATCGAAACATTATACACGTTTTCCCAACACCCGAATCGCCAATAAGTAAAATTTTAAACTGAGCATCAGGCTGTGCGCGAACCATTTTTTTTTTTCGTATCTGAAATGAAACATATATCCAGGTTGTATTTTTAATCTTAGCTTCAAAAGAATATGTACAAAATACTTTCATGAAATAAATGTTTGTTAGTTTATCTTCTAATCAATGCATCATATTTATCATGTTTTTCCTCGTTGTTTTGACGTTTACAAACCAATAAACAGAATATATATTGTTTATCTATCCGGAGGAGAATTTAATACTCTTTGACTGAGATTATCAGAGATAATTATTTGAATCAAAATATATGGAGAATGGATAGAAAAAAAAGTGAGACGAGTAGAAATCTTTCTTTCTATAGATTGTCTTTATACTTCACGTGATTAGAGAATACGCAAAAAGAAAAAAAACAGAATTAACATTAATCCTTCTACTGTACACTAATATTCAAAAACAAGTTTTTACTGTTTTCTTACTACACTAATGAAGAAGAAAATGCCTATGTTGTAAATGCTAGTAGCAGGAGAGTCATGAAAGTTAGATTTTATAGATTTATATTGTTAAATACTTTTAAATGCAACCTCAACAGGAAAATCAGTGTTGCTAATTTATTTTTGCATCGTTCATGCTAATCGTTAATGAAGAGATTAGAAAACAACCAAATTTTTTCTCTTTCTGCATTATAAGTTTTAATGGCATTCTGAATTGATCTTTACGAAAAGTAGGTACCGTATAACGAGAACGCTTTGCCTTAGATAGCCCAACATCGTCTACGTACACTACCAACTCAAAATAATCTTTCTCTTACGATAGACCCCCAAATGCTAGGAAATGAGATCCGTCTCCATTTTACTCACACCCTCCCTAATACGTTGGGTTCGTTGATAACATCGTTGTGCATCTTTTCCCGAGATATCTAGACGTTGTATCACTCATTAAGCAATGCCACCTAATCGAAACAGATCTCACAGCGTGACTCAGAATCATTTATTTTACTTTGACAACTTGTAGCTTAATCACAGATCCAGGTTAAACTAACTAATACATTTGTGTGCACACGATAGCAGTTGGCAAAAGTACTTCATCGAAAACAAACCGTCGATAGTTCTTGTAAACATATAGCAAAATTTTGTATAATCTCCGCAAAGTCAAATTAAGAGAATTAGTGCTTACTAATGTTAGTTCAAGGCAAGGACTAAGTCATACAAATTCAATTAGTCGCCCTGTCATGCAAACGTGTTCTGTCTCTCTTTTGCTTAACATATATATATATATATATATATCGCTCTATATGCAACATACCTCACTTCAATATGTACATATTTCCCGTATGACTGTAATGAGAAATACAAAAGAAAAACTTAAACAACATGCGTAGGAAATCCTGAAAAATTGTATGTGTGTACACATATTGTCAAGGTTCAAAAGAAACGGAACAAAAAAAAATTGAATTCTGTTCTGAGTCATATGTTAGAACTTTCTATACACATTATTGAAGTAAGAAGAAAAAAATGAATATAGATTATGTATGTTTTCTTTTGCCACACGTCAGCAGGTAAGATATAAATCACATGTACATACGGAATGTGAACATGTCATAAACGAAGAATGAGTAATCATATTGTGAGCAATTGTTTTGCGAGAATGACTAAAGGTGCGGGAGGTTGAAGTTATCAGAATCCAATGACGTCGCAGCACTAGACCTGTACTAGTTAAGGTTACAAGGCGGTTAACTAGTATTTTAGTAATTGGTCATCGGTTAACTGTTTAACTGAGTCACTCGAATACCAGTAAACTGATTTTAACGGATTATACTATACTCATCTGACACAGTGGGTAATTTATGCTAGCGTTTTTTCTCGAGAAATGGAGAAAATTAAAATATTACATGAAAAATCGTCTTAAGGCAAACGCTAAACTTTTTCTCTATTCAAAGTTTTGTAATGTACATCGTTCGATGCAGTTTGACGCGTTGATTCCGACTATGCCATGTATTTTGCTTGGAAACATATTTCTGTCAGAGAAATAAAGAAAATGGATTTTATGTCAAAAACTATGGATTTTTAAAAACTTCGGTGAGAACTTACTGAGTTACACTACCAAATAGAAAACCAAATAGAAGTAAACAAACAAAACTTCATTCTTTAGCCGGTATTTTGGTCGAATAATCTGACCTTCACATTTCAGTGAATCTTAGTCTAATGTAAGAAGAAGGACAGGAGAGAAGCACAGACAGACTCAGTCTGTCCACTGATTGGCTGCTGTGTTCATTATGAACGATGGATGATGATATAGGCAACAATAGTGATAAACTACTAGTGCGCAGTTTTTGCAGTTAATCTTCCGATTTATCCAAGTTGTTAAGAGTACTTCCCCCCCCCTCA